CTTGGACTGAAATGTTTTTTTGATGGTTGAAAAATAAATAACTGTAACGTTTTCCAGATGGAGATCTGCAGGATGAAACCATAAACAAAATCAAAAATATTATGATCTTCTTTTGTGGCTGGTTTGGTGAATTTTTGTCACATTGTGATGAAACTTGCAAACCGTCCTATCTTTGTGAATATGAACTACAAGTATACTTTGATGGGTAAAGTTAAGTGGTAAACAATCCTACTTAAATTTATGCTGGAATTATTGTGTGATAGCCAAAATGTGCATAAATTATGTATGATGGGATGGTATGCCGGAACACCGGGACTTTTATTACCAAGTCCATGTTACAGACGATTAAACGGGAACTTTCCCCTCTTGCTCCCAGTACCAGGGGCAATGGGTCTCAGGAGGGTCAATTTTAAACTGTCTCCTAAACAGCTCACCAGGTGAACCTGTTGACCTTCCTTCATAGAACCATGGTTACTCAGTAACGCCTTGTTTCTTGATAACATGCCTGGAGAGAAGTTTTCTTCCTCTGTGAGCTCGGGCAGGCTGCAGTGTATCACTTTGTACTTCTGTACTGGCCAAAAAATTCCCTCAGTGACTTTGACCAGAGTCAGCAGATCCATTTTACAGTTTAAGTTATCATTAGAGATGAGGTCTGTTCCTCCCAGCGTCTGGACAAATGCTTTGGCTTCAGCAGCAAACATATTCTGTGGAAGCAAGAATAACATTTCTGTACGTCAGCACAAAAGATTTCCACTTTTTTTTTTCTACTTTTATGGCACAGGAAGATCTTGAGGAAAGTAGTTTCTAGTTATTTTGCAGGTTTAGATGCATCAGTCAAAGCAGATGACTCAGTTAAAATATAATCAACAAATACGAATTAACAGGGAAACTGAGATTAAAACACTCAGCGGGTGTCTGTATGGTTGGTGCAGATTTTCATACCAGGTGCCCTCCCTGATGCATTGCTACGAATTATATGTCATAACAAATGCACAAGCAAAAAGATAATACGAGAAATAATTACATTTCGCTGGCGCAATTAAATTTTGCTACAGTTTCACGCTCTCTGCATTTGGAGAGAAATCCTGCTTGCACGACTAAATTTACTTTTGACAGTTTGGAGGCAGAACCTAAGGGAGGACGGGGTCACTTTGATGGACATCAGATTACTCAGCTCACTGTGGGTTCAGGCTCCACTGTAATATTTTATCCAGATAATGTTTTGGGTCCTCTGAACAGACAGACTGTGGAGTGGACTGGAGAGCAGGATGTGACAGGCTGTCATTTGGTAAGTAGCTCATTGGTCTGAACTAGTGTCTGATAAACAGCTGTTGCATCATGCTTTGGAAATCTAAAGGCTCCTATTACTACATTACACACAGTGATTGTAGCTGCTGTGTGATAGGTGTGCTAAGTTGTAATGCTTTGTGGTTATATCTGTAGTTACCTAAATCCTTTACTTATATAAAAGTACTAATACTATATTTATGTACATTCTGTAAAAGTACATTTTACTCAAGTAAAAGTACAAATATTATTCATGAAAATAATTCAATTATATATCATTGTTGAGTAGTTGAAGTGTACAACACAGCTGGAGCTAATTCACTGAAGCTAAACCACACAACAATTTATTAGCTGATTTATATTTTATATTAATCTTATTCTGATTAGACTTCATAATGAAATATTTGCATGAATAAATACAATAAAATAAATAAAAACTCAGTATAAAAGCATCTGTGCTACACATCAGTCTTGAGGATTTTGCGACTTTTTGAAAGTAAGTTTGCCAGGTTAATACCTCCTCAAAAGTCCTCCTCAAAGTCAGGTGAGAGTTTAATGCAGCGCTGCCTGAACACAACCAACACTCAAAAGTCTCTGAATCTTTCTGAGGTTATAACAAAAAGATGATGTCATAACAACCCATAGTTTTGTCATTCAGAGCGAATTTGCTCACACAGAGCTGATCACCTGCACGTCTTTACTTCTGAACCACTCAGCTTCTTCAAGATGCTCCTTTTACCCCGATCATCTCACAAGTTAAAGTCATCAGCATGCAGATTTTCCACCGCCTTGTTTTAGCCCACAGTGGTATCACTGTCAGAGGCAATGAGTCTGGGAATAAATGTATTTGTGTTTGTTTTTTAATATGGCTTTACATGTATTGACTCCTGCAGTAAAAAAATCAATAATGATCTCATTGATGGCATTGCTGGAAGCTAAATGACATCTGCTTGCTTTTCCTTAGTGTTCCTGCATGTGTATGTTAATACAGGGGTGCACAAACTGCTCTAAACAGAATCTTCATCACTTCTCATCTGAGCAGAAATAAGATATTTTTCACATTTGATGCTCTCTTTGTGGAATTATCCAGTAACATGTTATAAAGGTTATGTCATTAACTTTGTTAGTAATACGAGTGAATATGATGACAAGAATTGAGATACTGAGATTTTATAAATAATAAAATCTGCTCCAACTTCATCACCTGCAGAATCAATGTTATGCAGAGCTGATGCATGTAAAACCAAATATGATGTTCAATACACTCAAATATGGTTGACTGTTTGATTACTGTTTAAATGCGTGCATACATGCAGATGTATCTGATATAATTTTGAACTGTTCATCAGGCTGTAAGCATGTAAAACTTTTTCAGGCATGTGTCCTGACAGCAAAGTTAACGTGAAACATGAATCTTAAAGAGTTTCTTACCTCCGGCAGATTTTCACACCAGAACTGTCTCAGTTCAGACAATGAATCACTGCACAGTCACATGTGTCGGAGTCAGGTTAATGCAGAGTGCAACAGCTGGAGGTCCGACAAAGCCGCAGGAAGCTTCTTCTAAAAAGAAAATTTAGTTTAAACTCTGCGTTTAACAGATTTAAAACCAGAGAGGAAAACAAAACAAAGCCTGTGTTTGAGTCTCTCAGCTGAAAATATGCTGCAGTGTCTGTGAAGAGCAGCAGGGCGTGTGCTGAAGACGGTAAACACGCTGCAACAGAAAAATCTGTTGGCTCATTTTACAGCGAGAAAAACTTCTCAGAAAACCTGTAGGAACCTGTGAGACCGCTTTTTTTATACACACACTTTATAAACAATAGATTCTTCAGTAAAACTGTCACTGACTGCTGATTACTCATCTGGTAATCTCTGTCCAAACATTGAAGGACATGACTGTGCATGCAGCAGCCTGTAAGTTCTGCTGAACTGTGACACAGCAACACAATGTTTTTGTTTTGTTTCTTGGGAAAAATGAAACAAAAAATGTATTTAAGTTGGGCAAATCTACATGCTGTGCTCTCACTTCCTTATATACTGAAGTTTTACTTCAAAATCACTTCAGGAAAATCCTGAGGTGTACGGTGAAAATGAGACTCCCACTCATCAATTTTAACAGCAGCGTTTTAATTTTGGTTAACATGAGCTCCACAGAGAGTGATCTGAACCTGTTGTGTCGACCTTACAGCAGCGCTGAGCCTCCTGTTACATGTTACATGTCTTCATGGTCAACCCTGATTATAAGAAATATTAGCATGTGTAGATTAAATCCTGTTTCAAATTGATTTAAACTTTCTTCAGAATTGCAGATGCAGCATTTTTCCTCATGATGGCGCCGGTAAGTCTCTGGAAACTCCAACAAGCCACAAGAAGTAAATGTTTTAAAATGTGAGTAATAATGAGAAACCCTAAAGCAGAACTGAAACTCCGTCTGATAAATTAAATCTTTCATTAAAGGTTTCTTGGACTGAAATGTTTTTTTGATGGTTGAAAAATAAATAACTGTAACGTTTTCCAGATGGAGATCTGCAGGATGAAACCATAAACACAGAAAGTCCTCTTAAAAAGGGCAAAAGGTTCAGTCCAGACTAAGACAGTTTCTATCGCCTGTTAGTGAGGACTGTCTCTGGAGCAGAGGGCACAATGTTTAGCCTGCTTCTCTGCATGCTGTCACTTCTTTTTCTTGTCTCTCAAGTACCAAATCTTATATATTATATTTCAAGAGATTAGTTCAATATCAATATTGTAAAATTAACTAACAGTAAACAAGCATGGAAACAGGGTCAGGGGCACAGAGGAGGAAACAGGACAGAACATAAAGGAGTGCAGCAAAAACTAATAAAATATTAAAACCATGAGCCGATCATAAAAGTATAAAGTTTTATTTATTTAAAAAATATATATATATTTTATTAGATTATTCTTTTTATTTTTGATCTTTGACAGATGAAAGAGGAAACAATGGCAGAAACGTTCAAAGATGCAGAACGCTGCTGTGAAAACAGGTTAACAAAGATCACAGCAGCTGACATTAAGGGTTTGTTGTGGGCTGCATCAGGCTGAGTCCCTGCACAGCGAGGCACAGAACCTCCAGCAGAACC